GGGGGGGGTCAGGAGAGAGGAGGAGGGAGGGAGGGAGGACGAAGCAGCAGGCTGATCACGAGGCGGGAGCAGGACGAAGGCGGGGTGGTCGCCAGCTCCCTCGCCCTCGATCCAAGCGACCCTACGCACCTCTGCAGAAGGGGGAGAAGGCGGCATCCCAGGCGAGACCATCTCGTGCCGAGAGGGGGCCCCGGCTGCTCCGGCCGGCTGCACCCACGAGGGCGACCCTGGGCAAGGGTGGCCCCTGGTGCGCAGCTCTCTCTGGCGCCGCGGGGGAGGGGGCCAGCCGCAGGCGCGCAAGGCGCCGCCATCGCACCGCGCTCTCGGCGAGTCGGAGGACCCCAGCGGGCCCGCACCAGAGGCCACCCTGGCGAAGGGTCACTCCCACGTGTAGCCTGTTCGGGGCGCTCGCCGTGGCTGCGCTCTCCGCCAGCCTCGCCCCGCTCTCGCCGAGCAGTGCCGAAGGCGTCGCCGCCTCCTCGAGGAAGCGGGACCCCCCGGGCTCCACACGGGTCCCCCACGGGGCTCCCAGGCAGAGACGCCCAGAGGCGTCCAGGGCGTCGTGGATCTTCGGCCCGCCCTCCCCCATCCTCGCTTTTCGGGCGGCGCTGGTGACCCCCCTGATGGTGACCCACCCTAGGCTTAGGTCGGGAATGCCCCCCTACGGGCAGATTTTGGACGAAAAAAAAAAGAGTCAACAAATATTCAAACAAAAATATCGAAAATACGAATAAACAAAAAAACAAACAAAACAAACAAGTCCCCGGACTTCTTTGTTCTCTCTCTCTCTCTCTCTCTTTTTGAATACTCCCCCTGTAGAGGGACGTGCCCGACTTCACCCGAGGCGCTGCTCCCTCTCTCTCTCTCTCGCTCTCTCTCTCCCTCCCTGTCTCTCCAGGGGAGCCCCCCCTGGGCGGGGCTCGGCCAAGGAGGGCCGCGGCGACCAGCCGGGGGCCAGGCGCCGGACCCGGGGCAGAGCGCTCTCGGGGAGGAGGAGGAGGAGGAGGAGGAGGAGGAGGAGGAGGAGGAGGAGGAGGAGAGGAGGAGGAGGAGGAGGAGGAGGAGGAGATGGAGGAGGAGGAGGAGGAGGAGGAGGAGGAGGAAACAAAGTGGATACCCGCGGCGTTCTTCCGTCTCGGACCGCGAGGCGGGAGAGGGGGGGGGGCGTGGAGGGCCCGCCCGAGGCCTGGGAGGGAGAACCCCATGGAGGCTCCCCGGGGAGGGGAGCTCTGGGGAAAGGGTTCTCCAGAGGGGTCCTCCTCCTCCTCCTCCTCCTCCTCTCCTCTCCCTCCTCCCTCCTCCTCCTCTCCTCCCTCCTCTCCTCCTCCTCCTCCTCCTCCTCCTCCCTCCCTCCTCTCCCTCCTCCTCCTCCTCCTCCTCCTCCTCCTCCTCCCTCCCTCCTCCTCCTCTGCGGAGGGCTTGGGCGATCCTTCCTCGCCCCCCTCTCCCGCCTCTCCTCCTAGCCGCATCCGCGGGGGCCGTATGTGCCCGCAGCCGCGGGGGGGTGTGGGTGAGCCACTCCTCCGAAGCTTCCGGCCTGCGCCAGGCAAGTGGGGCCATAGCTTGCGCAGCACAGACTGCACCCCTCATGTTGCGGCGCACGATTCACACATGCAGAGTGCGGTAACTTACTGTTCGGGGTACACGCTGGAATGCGTTGCAATACTGTCAAGCCCCAGGCACGGGCCCACCAACCGCCCGTTTGAACCCCCAGGGCGTCGCCAGAAACTCGGAGCTCGATCCGAAACGCGACACGGTGTCCCCAAATGAACTGCGATTCTTTCACCTGCCTCCAAGAGCGACCCCAGGACGATTCGAATGGCACTGATGGCGATGACGTCCAACCCTCGACTGAAAACTCCTTCAAGCACATCTCGGTCCAGCCAACTCTACGCGGAATTCTGCTATTGCTACTCTGCTGTGTGCGATGTGACCAACGGCCCAGATCTGTGATTCCCCCTCCCCGTCCTCCTGCTGCAGATGATCCTGCCCTCCTGCTCCAACTCCTCCTCTACTTTGCCCCTGCAGGGACACCCAAGCAAGCAATGGCATCGTTACAAACTCACTCTTCTGGCAGTTGCCGATTCGGTGTGGTTCAATAATATTTTCAAACTCGCCGCTGTCCTCAATTTCGGCTGCAATCAGCCGCTGCAGTCTTTTTCAAAAGATGCAGTGCGAATCGGTTCGCGTTTCTGAACCACAGCGATGGCCTTCGTTCCGAACTCCGAGAGCTTGGAAAACTTCTTAGTTCATGGGGGCAAGTAGCTCGTGTGTGGCGAATGGCTTCTTCCCGCAGAGACTGTTCTCCCAACTGTCCCTGCAAGTTTTTTGGGGAGGGAGGGGCAACGCAAACAGCGGGCAGCTAACACACTCCAAGACGCCCCAAGAGGCCTCCTAGAAGCCTCCCAAGAGGGCCCCAAGAAGCCAACATCATTGATTGTCCGTAGTTTTTTTGAACAAAACAATGTGTTTGGTGTTCTCGCACTTTCGGCTTCCCCAGACGGCCCTGGAGGCCCCCGAGATCGCCCCACGACGGCCCAAGAGGCCTCCAAGCGGGCCCCAAAGCGGCCCAAAGAGAGCTCCAAGGCGGCCCAAGAGGCGCCCAATGCGGCCCAAGAGGCCCCGAAGACGGCACCAAGAGGGGGGGGAGGGGGGGCAACGCGAACAGCAGGCAACGAGCACACTCCCTCGCACCATCGGGGCACTTCCATCCGTCACCGGGAGCCTCCGTCGCAAAGCCCCGTGGCCACTGCTGCCCGACAGCTCCACCGACAGAGCAGGGCCCGGGGCCATGCAGGACGTCGACGTGGCCCTGCCCCGCCGGCACCCGCAAACGTGGACGTGAGCGGATCGCGGGAGGCGGGAAGGCCCAGAACCGAATCGATGAGTCGGTTGGGCGGTCGACGTGCATCGTGCCCCCCCCCTTCGGCTGCAGCTGGTCTTCCGCGCTGGCTGCCCCGAAGGCGCTCCGCAGAGCCTCTCGAGGCGGCCGGCCGTCCAGGCGGAGCAGGGGACGGGCGGCGCAACGTGTCGAGCGCAGGGGCGGCCCCACCACTGCGCGAGTGCCAGGGCAGACGGCGGCGTCGAGCTGGGCCTTCCGAAGGAGCAGCCCCACGGTGCCCTGCGCAGGAGAGCCAAGAAAATCGACAAGTCAGATCTGCGGTCGAAGCGGATCGAATCGGAAATCGGCGGTCAAGTCGGGAGACGTCGAATCGGCGGAGATCGGCAGGCTAGTTAGGCCCCCATCGAGAAGCCGAAATCCAGATCGGAATCCTAAAACGAATCCAACCGGAAACGGAATCCAACGACATCGAATCGAACCCAAGCTGGAGGAGTCGGGACGAGCCCTGGCGGGAGGGCAGGCCGCGGCGTACGAGGGACCTGCGGCGGGTCGCGAGGCTGCGGTGGGCGCTCGCCCACACGGTGCGGTAGGCAGCCTGGCCCGCCGCGAGGAGGAGGCGGAGGAGGAGGAGGCGGAGGAGGAGGAGGCGGAGGAGGAGGAGGAGGAGGAGGAGGAAGAGAGAAGGAGGAAGAGAGGAGGAGGAGGAGGAGGAGGAGGAGGAGGAGGAGGAGGAGGAGGAGGAGGAGGAGGAGGAGGAGGCAAGCGGAAGAGGAGGAGGAGGAGGAGGAGGAGAAGGAGGAGGAGGAGGAGGAGGAGGAGGAGGAGGAGGGGAGGAGGAGGAGGAGGGAGGTGGGGGAGGAGGAGAAGAGGAAGAAGAGGAGGAGTAGGAGTAGGAGTCAAGCTAGCCAGCTCGAGCGAGTCAAGCATGGCATGCCCAGTCCCACCCGCCCTCCCACAACATAAGAAGCAAAGCTGGCACAACTGGGGGCCGAAGTCACACCGGCCAGCCGGTTTGGTACAGCTGATGCGGCCGCGATGGCGGTTGCCGACGGGAACTGGCGAGCGCGTGTTGAATGCCGCGCACGCATTGCCAGACGAGTCGAGAATGGCCCGGTACACCGCAGGAAGCCAGAGGTGGCCGGAGGAAGCCCGACGGTCTGACAGGACACCCCAAAGCATTTTTGTGAAAAAGCATTGGGTTTTTGATGTTTTTATGTTGAAATGCTTGCAAACACACGGTGTTCGGTAGGATTCTGACATGAACGCGCGAGTGTGCTCTTTGTGGTATTTTTTGCACAGGATTCGCGGCCTGGGTGCATGACAGAGCATCGCGAGTGCACCGCGCGATGACGTGAAATCGCTGGATTTGACAGAATTCTTAAGATTCCTATGGTTTTCCTATGATTTCAGCAAGAGAGCCCGGGCGGGAAATTTGTACAATTTTGTGAAAAAGCATTGGGTTTTTGATGTTTTTATGTTGAAATGCTTGCAAACACACGGTGTTCGGTAGGATTCTGACATGAACGCGCGCGTGTGCTCTTTGTGGTATTTTTTGCAATGGATTATCGCCGTGGACGACAGGACGTCCATGTCGAGAGGAAAAAATAAGAAACATGTTGATTTTGTATTGTTTTTTACATGTTAGGATGGGACCACCCGGATGCGGCCCCTAATGGCCGGCCTGAGGGGGGAGTAGGAGTATATTCGAATAAGGAATAAGGATAGGAGGCGAGGGGTCGCCCACACGCAGAGCTGGCCCTGGGCAGGCGTGACCTCTGGTGCGCGGCCGTCGAGGGCCGCGGGGCGGTCAGATCCAGGCACGCAGCGGCCAATGCCTGGGGGGACCCCCGTGGGCCGGCCATCGCGCGTTGTGCAGCCGAGCCTCGGAGCCGACCCGTCCTCAACATTGCATCCCCTCTGGAGGTCACCAAAGCAACTACTTCACTATCAACTCTACTGTGGCCGTGACTGCCCTCTTCCTTTGCACTGTTTTCTGGTTCGGCCGCGAATCTCCGACACTGGATCGGAGAAGCACGTGCTGCGCACGTGCAACGAATGCGACTGTCGAAAGACGGCAGATGGCCCGTTCCACGCGATAGCTCGCCGCCGCGACTGTGCACACAGGGCAACGCTGCACAACTCGGAACTGCTGAATCCATCACTGCCCGAAGCGCAGGCAAGCGACGAGCGCGGAACACCTGTGCACCGCGAAACTCTCGCCTTAGAAAAAGAAAAAACGGCATACACACAAACTGTTGGCGCTCCGCGCGGATTTCCTGGATCCGCGCTGGGCCCCCCTCCCTGGCGCGCGGAGCGCGCCAGGGGCGGCGCCTGAGGCAGCGCGGATCCGAGAAATCTGCGCGGAGCGCCCCAAAGTTTATGTTCGTGGCGTTTTTCTTCTCCGACACCTGGCGTGCGGTCAGGATCTGGATCCTCCGTGCCCGCAGTGCTGCCTCCGAGGGTGACGCCGGGAGGTGCGAGCTGCCCGCGGCCGAGGAAGCCGCAGGCCGCCTGCGGCGCCAGCGCGGCCACGTCCTGCTCGAGGAGCTCGGCGCTGTTCCGGAGGTTGGAAGGGGGCGTGGCACAAAGGGGTGTGGCTCCAACCGTGGAAATGGCGATGCTATCTACGATCGATGACCTCGCCGAATCCAGCTTTTTGGCACCACACCCCTCTGCACCACACGCCTTTCCTGCCTCCGGAGCTGTAGGCGCGGTCGGAGAAGACGAAGCAGCCGCCCGGACGAGCCGCGCACGCCCCCGAGCGCTCCATGGCGTAGACGCGGCTCGCCCGCTCGACGGCGGCCTTCGCCGCGAACCTGTCCGGAGCGTGGAGGCGCAGCTCGTCGCCGCTGCGCGGCCTGCCCTCCACGGGAAGGGTGCCGTCCTCGCTCACGCGCAGGCCCTGGAGCAAGCGGAGGGGCCCGGGCGAGCCAGCTTCCGCAGAGGAACAAGAAGCGGCACGAACATCCGCCGCCGTGCCGCTGGGCACGGAGTCGGCGCGTCCCCAGGTCCTCTGCCCCATCGCCTGAGCATCTTTTTTGTCGATGCCAAGGGTTCCCAAGAGGCCCAGGACCCAAGCTCTCAAATCTTCTTGGGCTTGGCGCGGTCCCGTGAACGAGTTGAACTCGTGGCCGTCTTCACACACTACTTTTGAGACCCATGAGGGCCCCAGGACGGACCAAGAGGGCCCAAGAGGCCCCGAAGACGGTCCAAGTGGGCCCCGAGACGCCCAATGATCGTTCCAAGACGCCCAAGATGGCCCCCAGACGGCCCAAGAGGCCTCCAAGACGCTGAGGCCTGTAAAAGGTATCCCAAGAGGGCCCGAGAAGCGAAAATCATTGATTTCTCGTGTTTTTTGTTGTTTGTTTTATTTGGGGGAGGGGGAGGGGTGGGGGAGGGGAGGGGGGGGGAGGGGGGGGGGGGGGGGGGGTGGGGGCGTTCTCGCCTTTTCGGCTTCCCGACGCTTCCAGACGGCCTTCGAGGCAGGGCTGCTCGGCGTGCTAGTTCCATTCGCTTTTGGTTTTGGTTCGTTTCCCAAAGAACTCCCCTTGGGTTTCGGCCCGTCCGCCGGAGATGCGTAACAGGTGGTTGCAAAGGGGTTTTCGGCTCCAGACGGCTCCAAGATGGCCTCCAAGATGGTCAAGGTGGCCCAAGATTGCCTCCAAGTTCGTCCTGGATGGTCCAAGATGGCCTCGAAGACGGCCCAAGAGAGTCCAAGACGCCTCCAAGTTCGCACAAGAAACACCTAAGACGGCCCAAGGCGGCGCAAAAGGCCTCCAAGACGGCCCAAGACGGCCCAAGAGGCCTCCAAGAGGTCCTCCTGGAGGGCCCGAAGAGACCAAAATCATTGATTTGCCATGGGTTTTTGAAGGATTTTGGCTTTTGCTCCTTTCTGGCCTTCCGACGGCTCAAGACGGCCCAAGAGGCCCCCAAGATCGCCCAAAGATCGCCCACGAGGCCTCCAAGATGGCCTCATGACGGCCCAAGAGACCCCCAAGACGGCCTCAAGAAGGCCCCAAGAGGCCTCGAAGACGGCCAAGATGGCCTCCAAGACGGCCCAGATGGTCTCAATATGCCTCCAAGACGGCCCAAGATGCACCAAAAACGGCCTAATATAGCCTCAAGATGGCCCAAGACGGCCCAAGAGGCCCCCAAGAGGCCTTCAAGACGGCCCAAGAAGCCTCCCAGAGGTCCTGCAGGAGGACCCGAAGAGACCAAAATCATTGCTTTGCCTACGGTTTTCGAAGGATTCTGGCTTTTGCTCCTTTCGGCCTTCCGACGGCTCAAGACGGCCCAAGAAGGCCACCCAAGATCGCCCCAAGATCGCCCTCGAGGCCTCCAAGATGGCCCCATGACGGCCCAAGAGACCCCCAAGACGGCCCCAAGAAGGCCCCAAGAGGCCTCGAAGGCGACCAAGACTGCCTCCAAGACGGCTCAGATGACTCCAAGATGCCTCCAAGACGGCCCAAGATGCACCAACAACGGCCTAAGATGGCCTCAAGATGGCCCAGGACGGCTCAAGAGGCTCCCAAGAGGCCTTCAAGACGGCCCAAGAAGCCTCCAAGAGGTCCTCCAGGAGGAGGACCCGAAGAGATCAAAATCATTGATTGTCCTAAGGTTTTCGAAGGATTCTGGCTTTTGCTTTTTGTGGCATTCCGACGGCTCAAGACGGCCCAAGAGGTCCTCAAGATCGCCCACGAGACCTCCAAGATGGCCCCATGACGGCCCAAGAGCCCCCCAAGACGGCCCCCAGAGGGCCCCAAGAGGCCTCCAAGACGACCAAGATGGCCTCCAAGACGGCTAAGACGGCCCAAGATGCATCCAAGATGGCCTAAGATGGCCTCAACATGGCTCCAAGATGACTCAAGATGGCCTCCAAGACGGCCAAGATTGCCGTCAAGACGGCTAAGATGGCTCCAAGATGCCTTCAAGACGGCCCAAGATGCACCCAAGACGGCCCAAGATGGCCTCAAGATGGCCCAAGACGGCACAAAAAGGCCCCTAAGATGCCTCACAGACGGCACAAGAGGCCTCCAAGAGTTCCTCCAGGAAGGCCCGAAGATGCCAAAATGATTGATTTTCCTTAGGTTTTCAAAAGATTGTGGCATTTGCGCCTTGTCGGCCTTCCGACAGCCCAAGACGGCCCAAGAGGCCCCCAAGGTCGCCCCAAGATCGCCCAAGCGGCCTCCAAGATGGACGCATGACGGCCCAAGAGGCCCCCAAGACGGCGACCTCCAAGACGTCCAAGATACTCTCCAAGACTGCCCTGAAGCGCCCCAAGAGAGCCCCAAGTCGGTTCAGAAAAGCCCCCAAGACGACTTCCGACGGTGTCAGACGAGTCGGGAATGCCCTAAGACGGCCAAAGAGGCCCCCAAGAAGCCCCCAAAGGCCCCCAAGAAGCCCCCAAGAGGCCCAGGGAGGCTCCCAAGAGGTCTCCAAAAGGCTCCCAGCAAGCTCCGCAGAGGCCTCCTAAGAGGCCTCGCAAGACGGTTCCCAAGAAGTCTCCTCCTCCTACTCCTTCTCCTTCCCCATCATCCTCATCCTCATCCTCATCCTCATCCTCATCCTCATCCTCATCCTCCTCCTAATCATCATCCTCCTTCCTCTCCTGATCCTCCTCCTGTTGCTCCCCCACGCGTTCCCCGAAGACTTTCCAAACCGACTCGGGGAACAACTGGCCCGATAGCTTGGCCAAGCTCTAGCCCAGCTGTCGGCCACATAGGCGCTTCCAAAGGGGCAGGGGGCGGCGGTGATTCGCCGTAGGCGTCTTCGATGAACTTCTGAAGCTCCGCGCGGATGTCTTGGATCGCCGCTAGGTCGCCTAATTAGCGGCGCCTTCGGCGCCGCCCCCTGCGCTCTTCGCGCACCAGGGAGGGAGGTCCAGCGTCGATCCAAGAGATCCCCGCGCCGAGCTCCGACAGTTTGTGTCTTGAGGGCGGTTCCTGTTCTTCGATTCCTGCCGGCTGTGCAGTGCCAGCATCGCGCCCCCCCCCTTCAGCTGCAGCTGGTCCTCCGCGCTGGCCGCCCCGAAGGCGCTCCGCAGAGCCTCCCGGGGCGGCCGGCCGTCCAGGCGGAGCAGGGCGCTGGCGTCGCAGCGCGTCACGCGCAGGGGCGGCCCCGCCACGGCGCGGGTGCCGGGGCAGACGGCGGCGTCGAGCTGAGCCCTCCGAAGGAGCAGCCCCACGGTGCCCTGCGCAGGAGAGCAAAGAGCATCGACCATGAAGCCCGAGCAGCAGTCGAAGTGGATCGGAGAGCGGAGCGGCGGAACTCGGCGGCCAGGTCGGGAGACGTCGATAATCGGCGGCGGTCGGCAGGCCAGCGAGGCCCCCCCCCCACATCGAGAGGCCGAGCTCCCGCTCGGAGTCCGAGGTCGCCTCGAAGCGGACCCGGAATCGATCGACAGCGAATGGAGGTCGAGGTGGGCCCTGCCTGGGCCCAGAGGCGCACCGTGCCGCACGGGCCGGACGGCCAGCCGCCCTGATCCACGGCGCCGCAGACCGCCAGAGGCGGCACGCGCTCGCCGTCCTCGTCCAGGACCTCCGCGGACAGCGCGCCGACCTTGCCCGCGGCGGGGAACAGCTCGTCCACGGTGCGGCAGGCAGCCTGGCCCGCGGCGAGGAGGAGGAGGAGGAGGAGGAGGAGGAGGAGGAGGAGGAGGAGGAGGAGAAAAGAGGAGAATTAGGAGGAGGAGGAAGAAGAGGAGGAGGAGGAGGAGAAGGAGGAGGAGGAGTAGGAAGATGAGCAGGAGATCGCCAGGTCGACACTCTAGAAAAGCTATTCACGGGAATTCCCACGGCGGCGACGAAAAATCATAAAACACTATGCAGGGGGTCCCAAAATCTGGCGGCCGACGCCCCGGACACAAAGCAGGTGGTACAAAAAAACTGGCGGCGAGACATTCCACAAATGAAAGGTGGCACTGAAAAAACGACGACGACCGACTCTGCACACACTATGTGTAGTATACGATGCAAACAAAAAACATATTTGAAACAAAAGTAAAGAAAACGTATTCACTTTACGCATGTAATAAACGAATGATTACGCCACTCACGCCACTCACGCCCGACCCGAGCCCGAAACCGAGCCCGAGCCCGAGCCCGAGCCCGAGCCCGAGCCCGAGCTCGAGCCCGAGCCCGAGCCCGAGCCCGAGCCCGGGCCCGAGCCCGAGCCCGACCCCGCGTCCGAGCCCGAGCCCGACCCCGAGCCCGAGCCCGAGCCCGAGCCCGAGCCCGAACCCAAGCCCGACCCCAAACCCAGGCCCAAGTCGGAGCTCGAGCCCGAGCGCGAACCCGAGTCCGAGCCCGAGCCGGAGCCGGAACCGGAACCCGAACCTGAGCCCGAGCCCGAGCCCGATACAGACCCCTGGAGACGATGCCCTTTGCCAGGCAAAACGCCTTAAGTTCGAAGACAATCGATTCGGAAACTTTTCAGAAACTATTTCCGAAAAGGTGCCTAGTACCAAAATGATCTCTAAGACAGCCCGAAATGTCCTAAACGTAAGTTTGAAAAAGCTAAGGCTCAGAAAACAAATACAAATTATCAAAGAAATCGTAACCAATTGCTCAAATGATGCTCTCAGTTTGCCTTCTCGTACCGCACGGCTCGCAGAGCGCACATGAAAACAGAAATCGTAAGCACGATCTCAAATGACGTTCTTATTTCGCATTCTCGTACTGCACGGCTCGCAGAGCGCAGATAGTAACAAAAACTGACTCAAACTAAGGTTCTCATTTTGCGTTACGGTACGGCACGGCACGCAGAGCGCAAATGAAAACAGGAAGCGTAAGCACTTGCTCAAATGGTGCTTCATTTTGCGTTCTCGTACCTTGCAAACCGCTCTCATTTTGCGTTCTCGTACGGCACGGCACGCAGAGCGCGAATGAATACAAGAAGCGTAAGCACTTCCTCAAATGATGCTTGCTACGGTCTGTCAAAATTACGAATTTAAAAATCCACGTTGTCAATGTCAATGCGTGTCAAGATCGTTCCGTGAAGCCCTCTTGGCGCACGAGCTTGCGAAAGGCCAGAATTCAGATTGTATGTTTCAGTGTGTGTCGGGATCCTCGTTCCTTATGCGGTGCGAGAATGCGAAATGAGAGCATCATTTGAGTTCGTGCTTACGGTTTCTGTTTCATTTGCGCTGTGCGAATTGTGCGGTACGAGAACGAAAAATGAAAGCATCATTTGAGCTAAAGTTTACGGTTTCTGTTTTCATTTGCGCTCTGCGAATCGTGCCGTACGAGAACGTAAAATCAGAAGATCATTCGAGCTAGCGCTTACAATTTGGTTTTAATTTGCATTCAGTGAGCCGTGTGCGGTGCCAGAATACGAAATGAGAACATCATTTGAATTTGTGTTTACGGTTTCTGTTTTTATTTGCGCTGTGCGAGCCGTGCGGTACGAGAACGAAAAATGAGGGCATCAGTTGAGCTAATGTTTACGGTTTCTGTTTCATTTGCGCTCTGCGAAACGTGCCATACGAGAACGTAAAATCAGAAGATCATTCGAGTTAGCGCTTACAATTTTGGTTTTCATTTGCGTTTAGTGAGCCGTGTGCAGTACCAGAGTACGAAATGAGAGTACCATTTGAATTTGTGCTTACGGTTTAACCTTTTATTTGCGCTGTGCGAGCCGTGCGGTACGAGAACGCAAAATGAGAGCATCATTTGACCTAGAGCTTACGGTTTCTGTTTTCATTTGCGCTCTGCGAGTCGTGCCGTACGAGAACGTAAAATCAGAAAAAAAATTCGAGTTAGCGCTTACAATTTGGTTTTCATTTGCATTCAGTGAGCCGTGTGCGGTACCAGAATACGAAATGAGAATATCATTTGAATTTGTGTTTACGGTTCCTGTTTTTATTTGCGTTGTGCGAGCTGTGTGGTACGAGAACGCAAAATGAGAGCATCATTTGAGCTAGTGTTTACGGTTTCTGTTTTCATTTGCGATCTGCGAGCCGTGCCGTAGAAGAAAAAACAAAAAAAAACGTAAAATCAGAAGATCATTCGAGCTAGCGCTTACAATTTTGATTTTCATTTGCATTCAGTGAGCCGTGTGCGGTACCAGAGTACGAAATGAGAACATCATTTGAATTTGTGTTTACGGTTTCTGTTTTTATTTGCGCTGTGCGAGCCGTGCGGTACGAGAACGCAAAATCAGAGCATCATTTGAGCTCATGTTTACGGTTTCTGTTTTCATTTGCGCTCTGCGAGTCGTGCCGTACGAGAACGTAAAATCAGAAGATCATTCGAATTAGCGCTTATAGTTTTGGTTTTCATTTGCATTCAGTGAGCCGTGTGCGGTACCAGAATACGAAATGAGAGTATCAGTTGAATTTGTGTTTGCGGTTTCTGTTTTTATTTGCGCTGTGCGAGCCGTGCGGTACGAGAACGCAAAATGAGAGCATCATTTGAGCTAGAGCTTACGGTTTCTGTTTTCATTTGCGCTCTGCAAACCGTGCCGTACGAGAACGCACAATAAGAGTATCATTTGAGCTCGTGCTTTCAGTTGTTGCTTTAACTTGCGCTCTGCGAGCCGTGCGGTACGAGAATGCGAAACGAGAAATCATTTGGGCTCGTGGTTACGATTTTGTTTTAATTGCGGTTGAGAACGCAAAATGAAGTATACGTCGTTGTGTTTTCTCCTTTTCCAACCTCAAAGAATATAATCAAATTCTGGAGGATTCCACAATTAATTTTTCTCACAATTAGAGATGCAAAACGGTTATATGACTCATTTTTGGTCTGGACCCCTTTTCAGGAATAATTTTTGAAAAAAATCCAAATTCATATTGAGAGAAATGCTTCGGCTCGTGCTTGGGCTTCGGCTAGCTCGCGCTCGAGCTTCGACTTGGGGCTCTGGGCTTGGACTAGCGCTCCGGCTCGGCCTCGCGCCTTCGGCTCGCGCTCGGGCTCGGGCTCGGGGCTCGGGCTCGGACTCGAACTCGGGCTCGCGCTTGACTCGGCTTCAGCGGGCTTCGGCTCGGGCTCGGGCTTCGGCTCGGGCCTCGGGCTTCAGCTCGGATTCAGACTTCGGCTCGCGCATGGGCTTGCGCTCAGGCTTCAGCTCGCACTCGGAATACCCAGCTTTGCCTCGGGCTCGGGCTCGGCTCGGGCTCGGCCTCGCGCTCGGGCTCGGGCTCGCGCTCGGGCTCGCGCGCGGGCTCGGGCTCGCGCTCGGGGTCGGGGTAGGGGTCCGGCTCGGGCTCAGACTCGAGCTCGGGCTCTCGCTCGGAGTCGGGCTTGGGCTTGGGCTGAGGCTCGGGGTCCGGTCGGGCTCGGACTCGCGCTCGGCTCGGGCTCGCGCTCGGGCTCGGGCTCGGGCTCGGGATTCGGCTCGGGCTCGAGCTCGGGCTCGGGCTTCGGCTGGAGATCGGGCTTCGGCTCGCGCTCGGGCTCGCGCTCGGGCTCGCGCTCGGTTCGCGCTCGGGCTCGGGCTCGGTCTCGGGTTCGGCTCGGGCTCGGGCTCGGCTCGGCTCGGCTCGCGCTCGCGCCGCTCGGCGGGCTGGGCGGTCGGGCTCGCGGGGCCGGGGCTCGGCTCGGGCTCGGGCTTAGGCTCGGCTCTCGGGCTCGGTTGGGCTGGGCTCGCTCGGGCTCGGCTGGGTCGTCGGGATCGAACTCGGGCTCGCGCTCGGACTCGGGCTCGGCTCGGGCTCGGCTCGGCTCGGGCTCGGGCTCGGGCTCGGGCTTCGGCTCGGCTCTCGCTTCGCTCGGGCTCGGGCTTCGGCTGGAGTCGGGCTTCGGCTCGCGCTCGGGCTCGCGCTCGGGCTCGCGCTCGGGCTTCGGCTCGGGCTCGGGCTCGGGCTCGGGCTCGGGCTCGGGGGCTCGCGCTCGGGCTCGGGCTCGGGCTTGGGCTCGGGGCTTCGGCTCGGGCTCGCGCTTGGGCTTGGGCTCGGGCTCGAGCTCGGAACTCGGGCTCGGGCTCGGGCTTCGGCTCGAGATCGGGCTTCGGCTCGCGCTCGGGCTCGCGCTCGGACTTCGGCTCGGGCTCGGGCTCGGGCTTCGGCTCGGGCTCGGGCTCGGGCTCGGGCTCGTTCTCGCGCTCGGGCTTCGTCTCGGGCTCGGGCTCGGGCTCGGGCTCGCGCTCCTCGGGCTCGGGCTTCGGCTCGGGCTCGGGCATCGGCTCGCTCGGGCTCGGGCTCGGGCTCGGGCTTCGGTTCGCGCTCGGGCTCGCGCTCGGGCTCGGGCTCGGGCTCGGGCTCGGGCTCGGGGGCTCGGGCTCGGGCTCGGGCTTCTCGGGCTCGGGCTCGGGCTCGGGCTCGGGCTCGGGCTCGGGCTCGGGCTCGGGCTCGTCGGGCTCGGGCTCGGCTCGGGCTTCGGCTCGCGCTTCGGCTCGCGCTCGGGTCCGAGCTCGGGTTCGGGTTCGGGCGCAAGCTCGGGCTCGGGCTGCGGCTCGGGGTCGGATTCGGGATCGGCATCGGGAACGGGATCGCGGGGTGAGGGAGTTGGTCGGGGTCGGAATGGAGATCGGGGTCGGGGTCGGAGCGCGGGCTCGGGTTCGGGCTCGGAGCGCGGGCTCGTGCTCGGGCTCGTGCTCGCGCTGGGGCTCGGTCGAGGTCGAGCTCGGATCTAGGCTCGGGCTCGGGGCGCGCGCTCGAGCTCGGG